AGCAAGCTGGAGTGGGGCTTGCGGCATGATAGGGTATGCCGTAGCTGCCTGTAGGGCAGACAGCTGTGGCGCACACGAACCCATGCACTGTCCTGTGCGAGCATCGTACAGCATCCTTACAGAAAAGATGGGACGAGCAAAGACAGTAGCTTGAGTCGACAGACTGACAGAACTGACGATCATTTCCTACCTGCAGCTCCACAGACGCTCCCGTCCTACCTGCAGCTCCACAGTCACTTCCTACCTGTAGCTCCACCCTCCCTCCCTTCCTACCTGCAGCTCCACGGTCACTCCCTTCCTACCTACACTTGTGCGGTCACTCACTTCCTACCTGCAGCTCTGCAATCACATCCTACTTTCAGCTCCACACTTGCGAGCCCTCTTTGCATGAAGCCTGCCTGAGTCGCGTTGCCTAAGCCCCATCCCCAACAACCCTCTGAAATCTCGCTCACAGAACGTCGTCCGCAAAGCACTGGCTGCAGTTGCTCGATGATCCTGATGATGGCATCGGCTCAATCAGAATGAAACCTGACCTGTGGTGATGATTCGACCTATGCATTCAGAGTCGTGCAGAGTCAGCGTTTACATGCGCTATCGCGGGCTCGAGCTTTTGCTCGCTGTGATCTGGCCCCATGTCGGGAATTCCGGAACAATACACTAGACTCAGACCGGACCAGACACGACAAAGACGGACTGCAGTAACGATTTTCTCAGGATGCATCAATGTACGGCTTGCTCAATTGAGTATGTCACAAACATGCTGCAGGTACACGAAGATGATCAGTCTCCGCTTCCCCCATGGTGGATAGCTTCGTTGGCACAGGTACCACCATGGGCCTGTGCCCCCTGCTACAGAAAATGCACTGCAGTCGCCATGTACAGGCGTTTACACACACACACACACAAGCTCTCGGATGTCAGAGTTTCAAGCGTGGGTGTACGTGTGTGTGTGTGTGTGTCGCACGTATCGCATGGCAGTCCTATGCATGAGATGACGCAGTCCAGGACGCAGAGGACTACGCATGCGACCATATTACCTGCCGAGGCCAAGTACATCATGATGAGCAATGATCAGCATCTTCGTGCACTCAGCTGAACCGCGAGACGCCTTCTTGCATTGCCTCGTTTCTCGCCTGCCGAACCTTACCACTCACGGGACCAGACAGATTTGTCGGCATGGAGGATCGACTTACACACATACTGCAAACACAGTTTGCTTTGGGCTTCCGGCTGCGAATTCAAGCGTCCGCACAACAGCAACGGTCAAGGATCCCAAGCAGATACTGCCTCTGCTGCGACAACTCAGAACTTGCAGAACTGGCGACGCCCACCGACGCTTTCCAAACTCATGCCCAGATGCCAAAGGAAGTAGTCAAAGCCACTTTAATGCTGCTGGTGAGCGGCCAGCCTGTTGAATCTCTAGTTGATCTCAGGTTTCTGATTTGGTGAACACAACTCGTACGCCCATCGCCGCATGAAAGAGTCTGCACCGGTTGCACCCTGGCCTTCTTTGCCAAAGTACCATCGTCCGAATACACCGCAGTAGCTGGTGTGGCAAACATTGTGTACGACTTGCCCACCCCAGACGAGGAGCAGCACGAAAATCTCGGCTTGTGATGAAAGCAATTACTTCAGCATGGTGCAGTCCTGCAAGATTTGCTTGACATCTCTCAGAGAGGCAGCCCAAGATATAGGTCTGTTTGCTTTCCTTAAGGCAGATGACCCAGAGCCATGAACAGTACATGAATTGTGCAGGCTTACAAGCATTCGATGAGTGTCCTTGAACTTGGAGAGTTGCTGTCCAAGGCTCAAGTGCTGGTCTGCGGTGTCTGATCGCATCTTGAGTTCGACACCCACCCAGCAACTCGAGACCAGTACGATCCAGAGGCCAGACAGAATGGAACCCAAAACGGAAACTGCCACCATACCTCGGCGCTTTCGCCGAAGCAGCGACGTCACTTGGCTCGCATTGACTCAGCACAACTAAGAATCCTGCATGGGTTGTCGTTGGAAATCTCTGCTACCTGAGAGAGGCAAAGCCAGGACTGGGAGCAACCGCCCAAGCCCACAACGTCTCACAGGCAAAAAACAGGCCATGGCGAGCCGCCATCTCCAGGACTTCGACGGTGAAGGGAATGCGATCGCGCCAGCGGCAAACGCAGGTGGCGTAGCAAACACCGATAAGCAGAAAAAAGCCGCCTGAAACATGGCTCAAACAAGGGTTGCAAACGGTACAACGGTGTACAACTACAACTACCCTTTACAGAGATTTTGCAGCAATGAGCAGGATGGTCGAACGGAGTCCTTTGAGGTGTGGTCCTGCATCAACCCTCTCTGGCGCAGGAGTGCCGGGAAGGAGGGGCAATGCTAGTTTCACAAGCATGCCATTGCCATTAGGGCGGGTGCGGCTGACTTTGCATCTAAGCCATGCCAGATCTCACCATGACCACTACCCGACCCAAGCAAAAGGCCGTGTAAAGTGGTGTAAAATCTGACTGAGTGCTGTGGCAGAAAACGTACAGGCACAGTGCTTTGGAACACATGGTGAGGGGTGCATCAGCACTGGGACGGTCCAAGTAAAGTTGAGGCATGACGAGTCAATGCCGGAGTGTTGCGTTTGGAGTGCACATCGTCAGCAATGCTTGATTGTCCAGAATGATCCCAAGCGACTCGGCCACTCGGGAGATTGCACTTCATACATACTGCGCAAGCTCTGTCGAACCAGCAATGATGCCTTGACCTTGTCAAGACAGAGTGAACCATGTTCGCCGCTTGTCCGCGCCTATCATCATGGATGTGCCATCTGTAAACCTGGCAATCAGATCCTGACTGTGATGTATGCAGCAACATGGCGAACGGAGAGCAGACAGTCACATTGAAATGCTGCTGTTTCTCCACCTCGAAATGGCAAGGAAAGTAACTCCAATAATGATATAGATCGTCGGGACCATGAAGAGCGAAAAATACCTGCGTGGATACACGACTTGCACTGGAGGCTATGTTTCGTGCCTTGGCGAACTGGGGCTCACACACTAGTGGTTTGGCGCATGCTTTGGCCAGCATCATGAAGAAGAACGCGGCGACTAAAGAGCCGACCGTACCGGCAACGCCTCACACGGACAATCACTCTGCGACGGCACAGGCAGATCAGGTCGCTAGCTCAATCAAAGCCCTAGTCCAATATGGCAAGACCCACTCCGAAACAACATGTCATGCAAAATATAGTTTTCAACCCACAACGTGAATCGAATTAGACAACCATGCTCCCAAACAAGGAGCACTCCACCCCAATCTCCGAACCTACAAGGACTTCATCCTAAGCTAAGCTTGTTCGGCACACACCTGGAAACATCAGCCAACCAAGAACCCTCACCCGAGGCCGAAGCAGTGAATGCTGCACGCCAATACTCTTTTCACCATCCCTCAAGAAAGAGTGCTCCGTGATGTACTTTTTTCTTGTTTCTTGAGAAATCTCAACACAACGGTGCGTCATGCATGCCCTGAAACGAGAAATCGTGAGCGCCCCTTCGGCCCTTAGGTGACCTGAAATTGTTTCCTAAGCAGCGGAGTTGATGGTCCTGTGTGAGGCAAGGCCCGCGGAAAACAAAAAATCTTCATTTCTCCGCTCGAAGATCACACTGGTCCCTTACTACATCCCTTACTTCCCGCGCCTGCCAGGACTAGCCTTCCCATATGCGCGGTCAAGTCTTCGACTTTCAAGTGGTTTCGGGTCTCGTCGTCCTGACAGGGCCGGCGGCCAGCCTATATCCGGAAAAAACCCATGACTGCACGTGCCAGGGCACTCGGAACGTGGAGTCTTCGTTGAGGCTAGTGTCAATATCCTGGCAGACAGTTACGCAGTCAGTCACGTTCAGAGACAACTAATCAGATCCGCTGGTTCAAACTGATTCAAAGCGTCCTTGAAGTAGAACGCAGCAAATGCGGCAGTGGCAGCAACCACGACCAAGAAAAGAATAGCCCAGGCCACATCTTTGCAAGAGCCTTGAGCGGTGAGGACTGGATCGGAGCGAGTATGAGGTGGCGAGACTTCACTAAAGGCAGTCAGGCGACGGCGAGACGGGAAGATATGAACCGAGTTCAGCAAATGTGCACCAACTTGGATCTCCTTGCCAAACCATGTCTTAGCCAGCACATGTTTGCTGCAGTCGTGGTGCTAATGCTGCTCAGAGGCTTGCATCTTGTTCTCCCTGTCACTGCGGGGTCCAATTGAAAAGGGGGTTAGTCGGTCCAGCTTCACACTCTGTATGCAGGAGATGCAGAGCAGAAATTGCTCGAGCCTGCGCTTTTGGGAAAACTTCCTTAGAAGCACGGGCATCAAGCAGAGAACACCACTCTGCTCGGCAGCGCTACAGTCTCTGGTTGTCGCCAAGCCACTGAAGACTGCCCAGGTTCTGAAGGTTGACTTCACGGCCGTTTACCGCCACCGAGTCTGGCGGCCGATTCTCCATCGCTCCGACTGACTAGCCGTTTCTGCAAGGCTTGAGTGAGAGGGCTCTGGGAACGATTGTGGCACCGTGCCAGCAGAGATGACTGCAGACATCGGTGGCCCTGCTGAAAGAGAGCAAAGCATGCTTCATGTCTGCACCGCACCTCTGCAGGCTTCGTTGCTGCGTAGCCGTCTGCCATCCAGACCTTGGGTTCTGCCGGAGAAAAAGGCGCTGTGCCACTGTTCCACACTTGTGCTGCATGTTTCCTTTGAGCTCCTGACCAACACGACCGGGATCTCGCGGCTTTTGGTGTAAATGTGTCAATTGCAAAACTAGTTCTTCAGATGGCTACCGTGTAAAGTTAAGAATGGTCTGCATGACAGCATCTGCGTGCTCGAGCACAGGATGCGCAGGTTTTGTAAACAGAGGCAGCTGCTCTCCGTCTTACCCTAAACCCTAAACCACTAAACCCCGAAACCCTAAACCCCAAACTCGCTCTTGAAGACGCCTTGCTCTCGCTGGGCCCACGAAGGCTCCCGACTCAAAACCTGCCTTGGGCCGGTCTGCAGCTCCCGAACGCTCTGTGGCCTGGCACCAAATAAGAACACAAATAAAGATACTAACAAGAATAGTACGACTACTAACAATAGTAATTAATAGCAATAAAAACAATAATACTAATACCAATAATAATAGTGATAACAGAAATAGCAATAATAATAGTGAAATAATAGCAAAATAATATAATAGTAGTAACAATAGCAATCATAGTAATCATAGGTAGTGATATGAAAATATTAATGATACCAAAAATAACAATAGTAATAAGAATACCGACCCTGTCGATTTTCTCCGCCTCGCAGGAGATAGAGTCGAAGAAGGACTTGGTCTTGTCGTAGCCCGGCAGTGGCTTCAGAGAATCGCCTGCGCTCTTCGAGGCAAAATCAAAGAAGCTTGCTGATTCTGGGCATCTCTTGAAAGGCCCGAAGGGGAGCGGGCCTTCTTCACCCTCTTTGGCTACAGCTTCCTTGTCGAACCTTGGGTTTGGCGAATTTAGCAACCTCGAAAGCGGGTGCACCCGGAAGGAACAAGATTTGCCATGCGTTTGTAAGACGATGGACGCTTCTAGTGCAAACCAGTGGCTTGGAGTTCGCGGCCGTGACATCAAACTCCTTCTCGAATTCCTTCTTAACCTGGCGCGCAGCCAGCTACCACGGCGACAAGGGTGCAAGGCTCCTTCACCGATTAAGCATGTTGCTTCAATGATCAGGGGTACCGAAGTCGCGAAAGGTTGCGCCAGACTTCATCAGATGGCAAGCCGCGAAAGTGGGGAAGCTGGCCTCCTCGTTGGCCTCGGGGAGAAGCTCTCCAATGGCAGCCCCATCGCCTGTCCAAGTTCCAAGCAATCAGAAATAATCAGAATGTGTGAAACCAGCAAAACCTTCAATGCACTGCACCACCATCTGCACCGAGTGGCGTCGATTGCCGCCCTTGCTGCCACCGCCGCCCTTACCCCTGCCAGGACGGTCACACATTCCTGAACACCCCGTGGTCACACGTCGCGATCTGATGACCGGGATTTCCCGTGAATGCAAGGCCGATCTTGATGCAGGAGTTCGGCTGCAGGGCCATGAGAAACATGCTGATCCTGTGAGGTTTTGAGCCCACGGCTTGCCACCCTTCTCTCCTTTGCCAGCCTGCACGTGGTATTGATGCCAATTGAAGCACGAGCTCAACCAAGGAGCATATCATGGCTCTACATCTGTGATCATCTGTGGTATGGTTCTGCGCTGTTTCCCACCTTGCCCTCGCCCTTTGGGGCCTGCGCATCTTCAATGAAAGCAGACGAGATTCAGAAGACAACACCGTGCCTTGCCCGCCTTGCCCTTGGTGTCTTTTCCTTTGCCCTTGGCATCGCCTTTGCTTCCTCCCTTGGGCCCGGCGTCCTGCCGTCTGCGGAGACGCGCAGAATTACATGTGATTGTGGGGCCGATTTGCCCAGGCCAAAAAACGGGCAGAAACACGCTCAGCCTTTTCTCCCTTGCTCAATATGTTCGCACGTGAAACACACAGCCGCTGCCGATCTCTATGAAATCGTGGAGCCATAGCCCGAGTAGCCGCCTGTGAAGTGAGGCGTCAGCTCACGACGCAAGGAACTCAAGGAACACCAAGGAACACCCCCTTCTGAGTCGGTCACCAAAAGCGGCAGGTCTGAGCCTGCCATGGAGTCTGCACAGCCTACGGCCTATAAAATACGGCTTTCTTTTTTGAGCATGGCCTTGCGCCCTGCATACCTTCTGATCTGTCCATGGAGACATCAAGATCACCTTCACGAAGATCTTCGTCCATGGCTTGATTTCGGCAATGCTCCGACAACACACTCTGCGACGTAAGCCACCGACCATGAGTCCTGAGTGCACTCTGAGTCTGTCTCTTTCCATCTTCCATGCTCCCCCTCTGGGTGAGAGGCCGGCCTAGTGGTTGCTTTTTCTTTCGGGGTCTCGAAGGCTAATGGCCCTGCCCCACCCTCTCAGCAGTCACCTGCCGGCCTTTTCAGGCAGCGCTCGGCGTGACGTGGCCAATCCCGATGTCTTGTTGTGGCTAGATGTGCGTCCCTGCCGGTACCCGCTGCACCTGTTGCTGCAGGACGCTATCCTTCAATTCCTGTGGTGAAGTGTGTGTGTGTGTGTGTGCCATAACAAGTTGAAGGGCGCAGATCACGTGTGGCGGCAAACAGCCGGGCACAGAGCGGACAGCGACGCGGATCAGGTGACAGCACATCTGGCTTCTTCGCTCCGCAGCTCTGGCTTCTTCGCTAAGGTGCACGTAGGCTTCTCTATGCGGAGCTAATTGGAGGTCAAAGACTTTTGATTTCGGCAGTGACATCTTTGACGACCCACCCTCGCAGCTAATGTTGTGGCAACTACTGGGTTTGGCCCCGAATTGGTGGGATCTCCATGCAAGACTACGTGCCACGCGCCTGCCGCCAACATGCTTATGCTCTCGAGATTGTCAAGTGAGAAGGCACCTACTTTTGGCTGACCTTTACCGCGAACCCGGGCCCCGATTGTGTTGCCCTGGCTATAGCGCTATCGCGTCGCTTGCCCCCCTTTGGTGCCAAGCATCTTCTCTGCCTCGGCTCTTTTCAGCTTCCGGTAGCTGCCATACCTCAGAGCAACACCAACGGCTCTTGCTCTACACGCAAATATCAATCGCGAAACCTGAGGTTGCGGCGAGTACAAGGAATAGACGATGCCACCACCTGTAAAAAGAATGACGACGATGAGCACGAAGACCCAGTGGGCCAAGTCCTCACCAAGAGATACATTGCTGCCGTGAGTCGTTTTCGACTTCCCCTTACCCGAGAGCACCTGTAGTGACTAAGCTCCCAGACCAAGTCAGCACACCCCTCTTGGTCGCAGGCATTGCTCACTCGGAAATCCTTTGCATACACCGGAGCGCTGCCGATGCGAACAACATCGTAAAGCCACCTCAATCGCTTGGCTGCATAATGCACTGCAGACCACCCTGGCCATGGATCTACCAAAATTGGTATCGAAACCCATTTACCGAAACTTTCAGGGCAGGACCCAATCCGGTAACAGAAAGCTGCGTTCTGGGAACACAAGCTTGTAGGACGAAACCACGTCACCATTCAATAGGATGATCTGGCCTTTCTGAACCGCGTTCGATTGTGAAGTTTGGACGTTGGTACGGTCTCCGACGGCTCTCCGTCTGCAAGTTAAATGCAATTAAACGTGCATGATATCGGGGCCTGCAGGAATGCACTCCAGGAATACGTGGTAAGTCCCAGACCATGTGCCCAGTCCCCCGAGCGTCACCAGCCTGGGCTGCGAGGAAGTCGTAGACAGCGCAAAGGCATACCCGCAACTGGGAGCCACACTTTATCAGCCCACTGATAGGCAAGCCGAGGTAGAAACGATCTAGACCTTGTCGGATGTTCAAAGGCACGATGCCGTGACGGTTGAAAGCGCAAGCTACACAAGGTCGTGCACATTTTTTGTGCACTACAGGCGCGAGGTTGCAGCCACATCAGGGTTGCGTGCTTTGTCTGCTGCTGCTTTCATCACAGCTTCGTAAACTCTGGGCATGTGATCGATGACCATTCGGTGACCACCGGACAAATCAATGCGAGGTGCCAATGCCTCCGGCTCGAGTTCTTCGACTTCACCATCAGTCTGAAGTAAAAAGCAACGACCAGCAGGGTAAAGCTTCAGCATGTCTATGGACTCCATGGACTTGCTACAAGTGCTTCCCATTGCCTCTGCAGTGCTCATCTGTAGGGCCTTTTCGAATCCCTCCGGGATGGCTTCTGCAGCCGCCTGTGCTGCCTTCAAAAGCCCTCCGGAGTCGCGGCCAGCCTGAGCTCTTTCCAACAAACGCTTCACGAGGTCCCCGGCGCCGGATGCCGCGAGCACGGCACGGCCATGAAGCTCCAGCAGATGGCCGGTCGATAACCGTGGGACGACGTCTTCGGCATGACAGAAGGAGGCCACACGGTCCCGCAAAGACTCGCTAACAGCTGCCGAACAAATCCCTGGAGCTCCGAAGCTGAAGCAGCGCACTCTCAGTCGGCAGCTGTACTTCTTCTGGGCATCGGCATCGCCACTTCGAGTGTCGGCTTGGCACTCGAAGTCGGCAGGAAGGATTGTCACAGGCAAGGCATGCCCTTCCACTATCTCCAAAAAGAGCATTGTCAGGTATGCAGCCACTCCACCACCCAAGCTGTGCCCCGCAAAGGTGACTGTGTCCACTTCGCCAGAAAGGTCGCGCAGGACTGGCCCGATGACCCGAAGAACATTGCAGGCACTCTGCAGCATGTTCTTGTGAGCCTATCCGGGACTATAGGAACACAGAGTGCATGCAGAGTAAAGCAAGGCAAGGCAAAGCAAGGCAAAGCCTTGCCCCCAAGGAAAAGGTCGACTTCCTCGGCTCCCAGGTCCGTGAGCACATCCGGCACGCTGAGCGTACCTTCTCACTGGGCGCAGTCTTGTGCGCTTTGGATGTCAAGGCCCCAAGGCGAAGTGTGTAAAATTGAGGGTTTAGGGCCTAGAGATCGATTTTAGAGCCGATCTCCTCATCCTGTGCCTCGCACGATGACAACAGCTTCACGGCGCTCGCGGTCGAGAAGCACATAGTGAGCTGGGAGTAGCCAGCCGGCCCGTAGCGATGCATGAGGCACCATCACCTGCTAGCTGCTCGCTCATGTGACACGGATGCTAACATGTTACTCGCTCAATCTTGCAACTTACCACTTCAACGTGTCATGCGGCCTTCTCGGGATTGAGGCTGGCACCAGTGTGTTTGCACAGTAGTTGGACAAAGTTCTGCTCCGTGACAGCAACTCCAGGCCCTGGGCGCAGTGTCACACGGCCATAAGCAGCCGTGGACATGCGCATATATCGAAGAGATTCCAAGAGGATGTCGGCTCTCCCAAACTCCGAGCTGTTCATCTCGGGTGGGGCCATCTCATCTTTGGAGACCCGCTTCCGCTCGTTTCTGTCCTTAACAAAGCTCTGTTTTGGATCTTCACCCCCTTAGGGCCTTAGGGCTCCTGCTTTGTTGTCGGGCCTTCAAGCTTAGAAACTTGTAAAACGCGTGAGTTCAACGGATCGGACGGGCCTTATCGCTGACTTCGAAAGAGCTCTGCCACGAGCTTTCATACCGACGGACTTCTAATTCTGACTGTTCCGCCGCTGTGATGGAAGGCGGGGCTTGTCCCAGACTAGAAGGCTTCTTCGGAGCGAAGCTGAAGAGGACTCGCTTCCGCAGAACATGTGATTCAAGTTGACAAGAACCGTTGAGCAAGGCACGCAGACTTTCTGGGTTCAAGCACTCTTCCCGGATGCCAACCCGAGTCTTGCTTGACCGGAATTGGCACTGAAGCCTCGAAGTGGCATGGATTGAAACACATTCCGAATCGCCTCACTAGCATTGTCATGATTCGTCTTCTCGACCGTGTCAATGCATTTACTACTCTAACGAAGTCAAAACAGCGGCGCTGGAGCTGGGGCTCCGAAGGGTACTGTCTCGGGCATGGGTACCAAGTTAGCAAGGTCTGAAGAGTCTTGAGACATCCGGCCGGTCTGTTTGGAATCCAACTCGAGATCTACGCCCTTAAGCTGGCGACGGCAGAGCTCAGCAGCATGAACTGGGAGTCACCGAATCACTTCGTGTCGCTCTCTCTGTCCCTCTCTCTGGTAGCCGAAACCTGACAGAACCTCTGGCAAACAACCGAAGGCGTCTTCTGGCTGTGGCCGGCTACCTAATTGTATTTGTGCTTCTCACACTTCTCATCACAGCTGAGTCGAGGTCATGCAGCACGAGGACATTCAGGCCCACCAGCGTCTTCGGCAGTGTTTCGGGCGAGATCTTGGCCATGAGGCTTCGGTAAACGTTTGCAACCTGAGTTTGTGCAAAGACGGCAAAGCTCAACATCAAACCCTTTTGCTGTAAATTCTCGTGAAGCAGGCTGAGCCTGCTGCCTGCTCGGTGGGAAAACGTTACTATGCTGCGGCTGGTCAAGCCCCCTCCGACTGATCAAAGATCCATTTCAGAAGCCACGGTCATGAGACAGAATTTGTCGAAACTCAGCGTTTGGACACTGGAACTGCTGCAAGCTTGCGGGGCTGGTATTGCTTCGACGGAGGAGCAGACGAGGTATCTTGATTCCTCCACAGAGACGCTCTTGCTTTCGAGGAGCGGGGCCCAAAGCATCCCACAACTGATGCTCCCAAGGCGACTGCCAGGCCGCCTGCTTCTCGACCTGCTCCTAGCAACAAAAACGGGATGCATTCAAATCCTCAGCAAAGTGTATTTTTTGCATGCGCTGGGCAAAGGGCGTCTCGTGACGACGAGCTGGCCGGGTATGCCAAAGATGGCACCAAATCCTTGGACCGGAGAATGAAACAGCTGCGACTACTAG